ACGATCGTAAACTCAACTTCTCCTTTGAGAAAATGAATGGACTGCTCTCAGACTACATATTCACTTGTGATGTTTGGTCCAGTGTTAGTCAGGCAAGGTCACAATGGCTTTCTAAACACATACATATACTACAGTATGTCAAAGTATCATCCACTAATCCCATATGCGCACACAATTTTATTCATATAGGCCAGTGTTCACATCCCTTTCATTGAAAACAATCCCATGGCACTCCACCAGTTAAAACAGATACATTCAAAACAATACATTTTGAACAATTTGGTGAATATTGGATCTTTTCTAAAGGCACCCAAAGAACTTCTCGCGGCACACTGACATGCCATGGCTCACTGGTTGAAAAACATTGATATAGACAGTGGAATGTCTGGCTCGTTGAAACAGCTACAGTTTTGGCTGGGGATGAAGTCCAATTGTTTTATGAGCACCTGTCGAGCTTGATTTCTTTGCCCTGAACTATTTTTTCCTCATATTAAAGCTGTGTCCACAAATCGAAAACGCCTCCACTGAAAAAAGCACAAACTCATTACACGTGGAGAGATGTGTTTTTGTAAAAATGAAAGTTTAAGACATTTCCTCGGTGTTTGCATTCCTTAAGCTTCTCAAAGGCTAAAACGCTGCATTATACACATCAAGAGCTTGTTCCTACATCCTCCTGTCTCAAACTTTGCAGAGACGCCCACGTGACCCATCAATCACAGAACATTTAGCAGTGAGGGATTACAGAAGCATTACTGAGTTCTCAACATTTCTGGACAGGCAGACTGAAAGTTTGTACCCCTTTTGGGAAACCTAAAAACAACATCAATAATTCATAAGCAATCTTTAAATAATTAAACTGTGTCAAAACAATATGAAATCGTAAAAATACCAATTTACTGCACCATCGGAAAAGGTTATTTGAAATACTCTTGTGTATTTTATGCCGCAGATGTTAAAACCAGTTTGATATGGCCATCTAAAAGCAGGTCTACAAGGACGATAGCACAATAGTTTTTCATTATATGTGAGCAATAAAATAATGATCTCCTTAGCACCGACTCAAACAGAACCCAGGACGCATTAAATATTCACCATGTTTTGGAACCGTCTCGATTTAACAACAAACAATGGCGGATGCGACTCCTCCTTCCATTAGAGTGAAGGTCAGATATTTTTCAAAATAGAACATGGAGAGACGTTTTGTTTTGTTTATTTCAAACGCAAGCACCAATTAGACCCGCCCCCACAGGTCCCTGATTGGTTGGTTGCATCTGACTGGTGAGGCCTATTCTAAAGGGAGATTTGACTGTATTATGGAAAAACTCTTAAAGGGGCATCATGCAACTTTTTTTGCAACTATTTAAAGATAAATTAAAGATTATATTTTTGCATTTTTGACCATTCTTGGCTGTGTGAGTGGTCTGCATTGTGCCTTTACTTTCCATCACAGTGGTCTCAAGGATGCAATAGGATCAATTGTTTGTAAAGTTTCCTCTACTCACCCAAAACAACCGACAAACCTAGATTTCTCCTTGAACATCTATGACAGCTTGGAGTATTTTGTGATAGAAGTGGATGACGACGTTCTTTATCCTCTGTGATGGTAAAGACTGGGCAGGAAACAACAGTACATGCTAATCCTGTGCTAATCCTCTGGGTTTTTTTCTTTAAAACAACGTAAGAGCCTAAGGAATACAAGAAAGAACTAGCTCAAATCATGAAAAATCCAGACTGTTTAAGGGGACCACAAAGAACGGTTCTGCCTTAGAACCTCCACCAAGTATTTTTTCAATTGTCCATTCTCCTTGCTCCTGTAAATTCCTGGGATCATCTCAATTATGTTATATTTGAATAATAGAAATTAGAAATATATTTATGTGACAATAATCAACCTCTAACAAAAAATGGGTAAATAAGTGTTTTTTGTAATCACCATGAACTGGCCAAAACAATCAGATTTTACGTTTAGTTTCGGATCAGTAACTTCTCGTTGGATAGAATAGTACCAACCACACACACACACCCACACCCACACACACACTCACACACACATGTCGGCTTTACGGTAATTTTTCAATGTATTTTTGGCCAGCCAGCTCTGATTAAAATGGCTACGCGCGCTGGCATACATTGGCGCAGTGCTGTTAAATATTAATGTCCGGAGATGATTACAGCTGTGGATGGTGAGAGGCAGGAAGTGGTGCGGACCTGACACTTCCATTCATCACGCGGGCCTAACAGAATCTAAATCCTCCCTGTGTACTTAACCTTGCTACCCGGAGACGGCAGAAGGAGCCACACGACCGGGGACACCGCGCTGGTTCAGAGACAGGGAAGAGAGACTTGGAGCTGGCTGGAAATAAAAGATGCTGGGATAAATAGGGTGAAAGCAGAGGTGGTGAAAAATGGCGTCTGCGCTGTATAATGTATGGCGCTCCTGGACTGACCTGCCAAGATGTCGCTGTGACAACCTGACGGATGTGGAGAAAAGAACTCTTATCTTATTTTGTCAAGGTCTGGCTCTCACTCAAAGCCTCCATTCAGCATAAATAAACAAGTAGTGGCAGAAAATGGCAGTTCGCGTGCTCGTCTCCCCTATACAGTATCACTTACCCTGAAGTCCATATTCCTGGTATAAAACGCAGCTGGATACACAATACTCTTGTTATAGGATTCAATTGTATCGTTTGCTTTTAAGTGCATGGGAATAGAACGTTTCAAGGGGCCTTTTCAATGCTTTTGTTAGAAGAATTTCATCAAATAAAGCGGCAAGCAGCCCTCTTAGAAAGCAAAGACCAATCACCTTGTTAAATGAATTTCAGCACTGTTTCCTGGAGACGAATTCAAGATATTATTTTTTCAACCTCCCAAGAAAACAAACCACTTCATTTACTTCATGCTCTTTTTATAACAATGTACCCTTATGAGTTATAAATAAAGCATTTACCCATACACTTTTATTAGATTGTTTGTTAGTTAGATTATTTCACAGACAGAGACACACACAATTAACAATTGTTGTGAGCGTTTTGTTCCGGTACTCACACACAGTGATGAAAGCGGGGTCACCACACAGGAGGCACGTGCCAGACCTATTGGACCGAGTTTTTAGTGGTAGGGGAAACCGAAGTACCCGGAGGAAAACCTTCACAAACAAGGGGAGAACATGCACACCTAAATTTGTCCTTTGAAACACCAATAACATTGGTTTTGGAAAGGGAATTGGAAGCAGGTAAACATAATATTCCAATCCCATGTCCGCCATTCAACACAAGAAAATACAGTACAAGAACAATACCATAGAACATTGAACATATACCAGTACTATTCTGCAACAAGCGTAACCATAAATCAATACAATGCATGACACTACCACCGATGGTATGAGACAAAACACTCTCTGACCCAACACCTCTCTCTTCCCACTACGTCTTTAAATTGTATCAAGTTAAAGTGTGCTTTCAATTCTTCCGTTAGATCGTCCAAGATTTTAACTCCACGCACTGAGATGCACGTTAATTTTAGTGTATTGTTCAGTGATTAATCCCATAGACGTCATCTCTTTTCCTTTATCATACCATTATTGCTCTATAATGTGTGCTGCAACAGTGGCATTTCTCCACTATGGTACAAATACAGGTTCTCATACGATCTTATTTTCTTTCTAACTTCTTGCCACCATAACTGCCAGCTAACTTTCCAAATGGCTGCTTTCTCAGGTCCCTTGTTATACTCAATCTTTAGTCCCTCTAATCCATCCTTCCTCCTCTCGATTATAAATTAAACTAGATCAATGACATTTTCCAGCTGGCTCGTTCGCCTTTTGCCGCATTGTGCAAGTGGTCTTATGCATCTCAGGCTTTTCACAACAGCAAAATAAAGACGACAAGGCACAACAAAATCAGCAACATTTAGGAGTAGGGATGAAGATGCATGCAAGAACGAGCATTGATGAAAGCTTTGTCTGTTTATTCCCCCATATAAAAGCTGTTTAAATTCTGTAATAGTCACTGCAGGGAATTTTAAGAGCCATTGTTCCGTTTATTATCGTGCTAGCATATAAGCCTGTCTGTCTGAGCCGGGGTGCTTAATAGTAGCTTTAATGATTTATCTGCTCCCACTAGACGGAGGAAATCACCTGCCTTGAAAAGTTGCAGCGGCGGCAAGTGTAGCAGAAGTTATTCCACAAGTGGCTCTATGTCACCGGCTGTCAGTCCATGTATCTGGTCCAATGAGTTGCTCTGATGCAAAGAGCTCGAAGCAGAAAGTAACCGAATAAAATTCCTTTGCTGTCTGCCTTTATTATCAATGTGGAGGACAGCTTGAACATAATATACTTGTAGTAAACAGCATAGCGCGGAGACTTTGACAACCTTGTGGATTGGAGTTGAAATGGCTGTAAGTGCGGATGGTTGAAGAGGCTGCTTCTATAGATTGGTTGTAACGAGGCACTTAAGAAGTTAACGGTTTCTCCAAGGACTTTAAACTTAAGAAAATGAGAAAATCTTACATTGAAACCATCATTCAAGAAAGGAATACTTGAACCAAAGCTCAAAAGTCAAATGTTTGTATGTTCCAAGCATCCACTAGGAATCCATGATAGTGGTATTGAATATGAGTCCTATCTCAAGACAAATTTGCTGGATCAGGTTTTGGCTCCAAATATGTCGTTTTGTCAATATATGAAATGTTTTACTCATGGCAGGTACCTGTGTGTGTTAAATTGTAATAACTTATTTTCCATTGCAAACACTCAACAATGCAATGATTTCCTTCAGACTATAATGTCTTTCAGCCTTGCAACATCTTGGTTTTGTAAATATGTCAACGTGTCAAACTCAATATAATATCTACAGAAGCTCAATAGGGGCCACAACCCACAACAACCACCAAACAAGAAAACAACCAAACAAGAAAACATTCCCTGACTCCCGCCTATAGCTTTACAGTAGTAAGAGTATTCCATCATGCTCTTACATATGCTCTGTGTTCCATTGCAGGAATACCAGTCGTGCAACACCCTCCCCTGCCCTGAGCTGAAGAAGACCACCCCCTGGACGCCCTGGACTCCTGTCAACATCTCTGACAACGGTGGCCATTACGAGCAGCGTTTCAGATACACCTGTAAAGCCCGCATCCCTGATCCCGGGCAGCTGGAGGTGGGCCGGCAGCGGATCGAGATGCGTTACTGCTCCAGTGACGGCTCCACGGGCTGCTCCACCGACGGTAAGAGCCACGATGGCCTTGTTATATGTGGCCGCGAGCTGTTCTGTCCTGTTGTGCAGCGCTTGTTATTTCTACCTTCAAACTCCTTTTGTGTTGGGGAAATTAAAGCAGCTCTGAGGAGTATGTGATATTACTCTCAATTTCCCCATCCTGTTTATAGTATGTATAGAGTATTGGGATTCAGTGGATTGCAAAAAAGAATAACTTTGGTAAGAAATTATATTCTCTCTTCTTAAATAAACACTTTATTTTAATACATTCATATTACACTGTATATTAAGATATTCATATTCACTTATGTTGCGTATTATTCATGGCAAAAAGAGAGTTGTGTAAGTTATGTTTGCCTAAAAGTAGGCCAACACTATATCTAGGAAATATACTGAAATTCATATAGGTTACGAAAGTGTTAAACACTTTGTGAATCATTACATTGATACACCACAATTTTTTTTCACAATTGAAGTGACAAAAACCCCCGAATGGGCATTCACAATTGAAAAAAAGACCCTTTTGGGTGTTCTTGAAATTTGAAACCCAAATATTGATCTATTTAAAGAGAAACAAGACCACCCTGATTATTATTCAAGCCCCATACGGAAAGCTTTTGGAGCCAAAAGGTGTTTGTAACCTCTAAGCCGCGATGGAATTGTGGTTGGGGAATAAACATCTGCATGTATAGAATGTGTTGAAACAACATTGAGCGTGATCTTGCGAGTGCTATAGTCAAATCATTATTTAGCCCATTCAAGCTAATCTGGGAGCTCCATTTTGCTGCACCAAAACAAATGTTTATATTCTCTTAGAGACAAGTCAAGGCTATCACAGAAACAAAGAGTGAATGGAGCAACAAGAGACATCTGCAAAAGAAGGATGCGTTGGTTAACAGAACTCCACAGACTCCAGCCACTCTTCACGCAGTTGTTTTGAAACTTGTCTTTGAGCCACAGACACAGCCTGTTTCCTGATCGCTTCTGTAAAGATGTACAGTAAACAGAACAGTATCGTGGGTTTGGCAGTTTGTCTACGTGAGGAGACACATCTTTACGAGAGACTTGGGTCGGTGTCACAAAGTTAGAGTTCACACTGTTTTATTACTCATGTATTCTTTAATTATCATTTTTAAAGTCATGTTTAAACTTGCATTGATACAGTTGATGCATCCGGCTATATAACCATACCCAGCAAAAATAACTGAACTTTTTTTTTTTCAGAAGGTTCCAGATTCTGCTTCTTGGCAAAAACTATACTATAAATGATTATTTGGCTCAACCCTTAGAGTATAGGAACAAAACAGTATAATTATGTTAAACGCTCTTAAATGTATCTTTAATAGCTAGGGAACCTGGAATTTGTTCTAATTGTTTTTCAGATGTAATCACCTGGATCCAATGTTTAGATACAGTGTAAGACTAATCTGAGAGGCTTAGGTTGTTACTACTTTTACATTGGTAGTTAAATGTGCTAGCTAGATTGAAATATGGTAGTAATGTTTTATAATTGCTGCCTTTGTCCTAATTAAGACCAGAGGAACTACCAGCTGACTGCTTCAGAGGGACTGCGATGGACTTGTCTTTCGGAGCTTTATGCCGCCGTGGGGGCCCCCTCCCTGTCTCCGCTCACTCCCCTAATGTTCACCATCGCTGGGGTTTTGATCTCGCTCTTCATCTCTTGATTATGAATGTCTTTGCCTCATCAGAACGAGCTGTCCTCATAGTTAGCGTGGCAGCAGCAAAATGTTCTTGAAGGGTCTTTAAACGAGCGCCGCGGCAGCACGGGGAAGGCCTAAGTGGGATTCGGCGACTTAAGAGGAGTGACTTGCACACATCCTGAGATATTAAGGAACAAAGACTTTCTGAAGGTTTAATAGCGTTGCCTTGTTTCTGATTAGAGCCAGAAGCCGAGGAAAGTGCAGTGTTTCATTAAAGATTGTCACGGGGAGGCAGACGCCGCATTAGCAGTGCCGTGCCGCAGTTAAAAGTCATTTTTTGTCGGCGTGTCTGTCAGTGTGCCGGGGCAGGTCTAGAGTCAGATGGTGATGTTTGAGGAGCACACAGCGGTGATTTCAAAGCTCCGTGCACAAACAGTTTTGCTGCGGTTTAGAGACAGCAAAATAAGCAGTGACTCAACTTTGGGCGATGCAGTCTGCCGGGAGTTTGCTTTGAATGTTTACCGAATGGTGTTGTTTTAAATCAGGCCAGAGGTTCGGACTACGGACTACAACTTTATGCTTATGCCACAATGCTATAGATTTAAGCCTGGAGCCCTTGTGAATTATATAATCGTTGAAGTTGGAATCAATTTTAATTATTTTTGCACAACTTGGTGTAAGTCTAGCAGAAAGTTTTATTTTTCAATCAAAAGACCATAAATTATCCCTATCCTGTCGTGGTAAAGGTGATGAATGTTACTCGTGAAGTAATCTTGTTTCCATTGAGATTCCATTGGAGTATCTGCAATGTTCTACTGTACTATTTTTTTTTGTATATCCACAGATCATGGTCTACCTCGTTTGTCCCTGGGTTTAGTTGGGTTTTTTTTTGTCCACGGATCAATCAAGTTTAATCATGATAGTCCCTCATTGTTTCTTATTATAGTTATACTTGTGGCTTATTCATTTGTGGTCTGAAAAGGATTGTAATTGATTTAAAATGGTAATCAGTTTCTGGTTCTCCCACAAAGACAAGTTATCAACATTCTTACCCACATCCTCCTCAAAGCTTTGTGAAACATAATTGTGCTTAAATATTCAAAGTGACAGGTTGCCCCAGAATTTGGCAAAGCTCATTTGTTCAGTTACAGACACTTTTTCTTCTAATCAACTGTGTCTGTCTGAGAAAAAGTAATCTTTTGTCTTATTTAGAGTTGGGAGAACAAAGTGAGAAGCTATTAAAAGGTGTGGCCTCTTGGTTCATCAAAGTGACTCATTTCTCTGAGGAATGTTCTTAGTATTAGGTTCACACAATTACCTTCTTTATTCTCACACTTGTTGTACACAATTTGCACATCAAAGTTTAGAGATTAAATCACAGGGTCCGTTATGTTTCAACACCATATGGTCTACAATACAATTACTGTATATTCAAAAGCATCTGATAAAAGCCTAGTTCTGCCTAAAAACCCAAAATGATATGTTTACAACCACATCTCTTTTTTTAATTGCCTCCCTTTTACACACTGAACACAGAATACTCCTTCACTTTGATAATCATCCTGGTGAATAGGGTGATTGCATTAGTGGAATGAGTTTTCTTTCTGTAAATTGTCTCTCTGTTGCTGCTGCTGCTTCAATAACTTAGTTTTGTGCATTTTACCAACAATTATCATACAACATATTGACACAAAGCAAAGTCTGTAATTCATTTTCAGGTCATTGATCAACAAAACTGCTTGTAATTAGGTGCGTAAAACTAAATCTCGCAATGGTTTTCCCCCATCGAAACGACACTCTGATTGTGCATCTTTCTCATTCTGTGACATGGTACAAGATTCTTCCAGCCCTGATGAAGAGGTATTCACTTGACCTGCCAATAGATACAGCCTTATTTAGATGGATGCCTGTAGAAGCTCATACATTAGATTATCCAATATGGCGTCCGTTTTGCAGACTCATGAGACGCCATAGTTTTGGTGACAGCGGTTCACTTTTCTCGCAGCCATTACCTGATAATTACTGCCACAGCACTGGGGTATATTGATGTCCACTGTCAGTCTAGAGGACCATAAGATCCCTCTGAGAAGCCGATGAGCACCTAGAAGGAGCGGGATGTTGCTCTATAAAGATTTACTATTTGCATCAGGCGGCTGGTTATCGACCTCGGTCCTGTGGGGGAGTTCTACCGGCGATAATGTATATGTGTTTGTGGCCCAACACCGAGATGAAACGCGATGCCGACAGCCTTTTATGTCTGCTGTGCTGATGACACCAACCAGTGCTGCATTTCTGTACATCTATATCAACTAGGATAAACGAGTAGGCTTTTATCTAACCAGGATAGTTACGCTGAGATTTCAGAGAGGTCATTTTGTATACGTTTTTAGTGTGAAACCGAAGCACCTGGAGAACATTCAATTCAATGTATTTTTGTATAGCCCTAAATCGCAACAGTAGCTATCTCGGAGGAAGCCAAAGCCATCAATTCACCAACACAGATCAGAGAATCAAAGAGTTCAATCACAGAGAATGCAATGTTAAAAAAAACACATAGAGCCATTGGTCCAAAAGAGGCAGAGACCAATGTCTATAAGTCCATAAAGGTTTTTGAATGTCCTGGAGACCCTTAGAAGTCATTGCAGAGACCATGGAATTGCTGCAGCGAAGACCTTATGTGACAATACATGTAAGGCAAGGGAAGTTTATTTGTATAGCACAATTCATATACACAACGCAATTCAAAGTGCTGAACGAAATAAGATAGCGATAAAATCACAAATCACAGTACCTTCAAAAGAAAGATAAAAATATAAAATCTCTCAGTTGTATGCACAGCTAAACAGAACTGTTTTGAACCTGGATTTAAACATTGTCAGAGAAGAGGCCTGTCTCACATCTTCAGGAAGATTGTTCCAGATTTTAGCTGGATGAATATAAAATGCTGCCTCTCCATGTTTAGTTCTGACTCTGGGCACCAGCAGGAGTCCAGTCCCTGTGCCCCTCACAGTCCGAGCTGGTTCATATGGGACTAACATGTCACTAATGTACTTTGGTGCGAGACCTGTACACAAGCAGATCTGTTTTAGATTCTATTCTCTGAGCCACAGGAAGCCTGAGGACTGGACTAATGTGATCATACTTCCTGGTTCCATGTATGCGTCCCTTTTTTCTTTGATGATTGTTAATATATCAAGTGTTTTCAACCTCTGCCTCACTTCTCTGGATACCTATGCTCCTTATGTGAGGCTAGCAAGGCATTTTTGCTCTCATCTGTTTGACTAAATAATGTCAGAAACTTCCACTTCCTCAAACTCTGCCTCTAACTCCTCCCTCCTCCTCCGAGGCC